GGGTGAGGCGGCCGGCGGGGGGCTGCGGGGCGGCCCCGTTCGGTTCGGGGCGGCTCGGCTCGGCTCGGCTCGGTCCGGTGTGGAGCGGCGCGGAGCGGCCCGTGCAGCGCGTGCGTGTCTTGCAGACCTTCGAGGCGGCGCTGCGGGAGAACATCAGCAGCGGCGGGCCGCCCTGCGAGGAGGCGGCGGGCGCCGGCGGGCGGCACAGCGGTGCGTGTCCCGTCGCGTGTGTGTCCCGCGGGGCCGCCACGGGAGAGCGTGCCCGAGGCGCCGGCAAGGCCGGCCTGAGCCCCGGCCGCGCGCAGCCGCCGCCCTGGGGCGCTGGGCGCGAGCCGAGGGGCGCAGAGCCCCCCGTGAGGGGCACAGCCGGGGTGCCCCCTTCCCGGGGGGTGTTAGCCCAGCAAACCAACCCCCCCGGGGATAGGCAGGCACGGGAGAGGGTTGCCGGGAGACATTGTGTCATCTCCGCCCTTGGAAGCGGTCGGGGAGCGCCTGGGGAAGCGCGGSCCGGGGCTGGGCGGCTGGCGCTGAGGGGGCGCCTGCCGAAATGGCGCTCGCGGAGCAGCCCCGGGTAACTCGCCTCTTGGCCTGTGCTCGCGTCAGGTGCTCGTGCCTGCAGCTCAGTGCTCCGCGCTGGCACGAAGCCGAAAACCCGCCTGCTGATCAGGTTGTGAGGGAAGAGCTCCTGGKTTTTGTTCAGAAACCTTCAGCAAATGCAGATCCAGAGTGATAAAACTGTACCTGGCACATGACCTTTTCTTCCCAATCCAGGAGCTCCATCCTAAAATGAAAAAAAAAAAAATCACAATTCAAGTCAACCTGCAAGCATTTTTTCCCAAGGATTTTTATTTTAATATGGATATATGAAAGTAAAATATTTCCATATTGTCTTCAGATTGTAGTTTTAAAGATGTCGCTAAGCCTTGGCCCCATGAGATACCAAGTCCAAATTTGACCTGCAAAAGGTCAAAAATGCATTGGTCTCATGGTGCGAAATGCTTAACCGATTCAACCTTAATTTAGCCTATTTCTAATTTGTTCAAAAATAGAAATAGTTTGTAGATGTTGTTTTCACTAAGTTACCCTCTTTACAATCTAACTTTGTGCCAGCTGAGATACTGTTTTCCTGTCTTCTGTTATAAAGTGGGAATTGTGCTGTATTGTGCTCTTTTGCTTGACGTGATGTTAGTGACGTGCTCGTGTCTGATCTGGGTCCAGTTTGAACCACCAAGTGGTCAGCTATTCGGTGCACCATGTTTTTGGTGTGCCAGCAGCTCGAGCCTTTCCGCTCTGTCTTTAAGGACTTTTATTGYCATGTCTCTGCCTCTACCCAAACACCCCAAACCAACCCCTTGATTTTGACTTTGAGCATCCTGTGCTGCACAGATTGACCAAGAGAGGGAGCTGGAAACCGGCTCTTTAGCAGTAGACCAGGTGGCTTTGCTGGTTACGCTCAGCCCGTTGATGGGACCCAKGGGTTAGCTTTGAAAGGTGTGCAGMTAAAAGCTTTCCAGTTTTCATTTGGCCTTATGATTAGTTTCAGGGCAGATGCCTTTATCTTCAATGGTAATCATACATGATTACTATTTCAAATCTACAGCTTTTTACTAATAACTTTGTTTCAAAGGGGGGGGAAATGTAGGAGCATTTTTATAACAACTTTGTATGCTTCTGATTTTAGATTCAAACATTAAGATTCTCGAAGATGAGTTTGATGAACTTATTGTAGAGACAGCAACAAAACGTAAGCAATGGCCTAAAAAGATACTAATGCACGCTGTCCAGACCATGAAGGAGGAGCAGGAGATGCTGGTGAGTAACCGGAAATTTCCTGCAAACTTTGCCTGGAGTAGTTGCTGGTCATAAGTAGTTAGGAGAATTCACTAAATCTTCATTTGTAAGTTCCTTTCCGTTGTTTCTTTTTTTTTTTTTTTTCCCCAAATAATGAAGTCATTTCTTTGCATTAATTTGTCTTAATTTGTTCTTCAGTAAATTGAGGGTTGCTATGAAGTCCTGTGAAGTGTGAGCAGTTTGGGGCTGTGGCACCGTTTGGCAAGTTACTTGCTGAGCGTTGCTTCAACAGGATTACTCATGTGTTARGGACACTTGGCCCGTATTTATCTTGTCCTATCAGGGATTCTGAAATCCTTGCCTGAAGGCTGCTCTTGAAGTATTAAATGTTATGATATAGATAGGTAAATACTATCATGTGTAGCATATGACTTTCTAAAGGCGTCCAAATTTTTCCTGAGCACCTTTGTTGGATAAGCAAGTGTTCAGCAAAGAAAGGGAAAAAAAGTCATGAATAAATGCAGTGTTTTCTCTGTTTTGTGGCACTCGGTGTAAAATTACTCTTGGCATAAAACAGCCCACTCGCGTTCTCGGATGCTAAATTTCACGTTTGCAGCTATGCTAAGTCCGTATTTTCCTGACCTGTTGGATTAATCAGGGACCAACTTTCTTTCCATCATTTATGTCATCCTAAAAAGACACTTTTTTTTTCTGTCTGTCATTATGTGTAAAATGTGGGCCCACTGCTCCACGAGGCAGGGCACCTGGCGGCAAAGAGTATTGAAAAGTCTGAAGTACTTAATGCTTTCTCTGCCTTGGTCCCTAAGGGTAAGACTGTCCCAGAAATACAGGCCCCTGGAACCAGTGTGAACTCTGGGACAAGGAAGGTTTACCCKTGGTAGAGGAGGGTCAAACTAGGGAACGTTTAACCAAACTGGAAGTACACAAGTCCACGGGACCTGACGGGATGTCCCCATGGCTGCTGAGGAGCTCGGCTCATGCTGATGTTATTGCAAAGCTGCTCAGTTACCTTTGAAAGCTCATGGCAATCAGGGGAAGTTCTTGAGAACTGCAAGAAAGCAAGTATTACTTTTGCCTTCAAGCAGAGCGAGAAGGAGCTTCGGGCAGATGGGATCTGGGATTCTGGCAATTGCCTTGCACCAGTACAGGCAGGAAACCAAGCGGCTGGAGAGCAGCCTTGCAGAGAAGATGCTGGTGGGCGGCAAGTCGAATGTGGACCAGCAGTGCTGCCTTGCAGCAAAGAGCAACGGTGTCCTGGGCTGCATCGAGCAGGGAGTTGCCAAGGGAGTTGGCTCCAGTGCCAAGGAACTGGAGCATCTGGTGTGCAAAGAACCCAAGGGAGCCGGACCTGCTCAGCATCAAGAGGAGAAGGCTCTGGGAGATCCTACCAGTGAACAGAAATACTTTTTGAAAGAGGAGTAAAGGAGACAGCTAGAGTCTTCTCAGTGGTGCCCAGGGACAGGGCAAGAGGGTACGAATGGAAAGACAGGAGATGCCATTTAAACATAAGAGAAAAACACTCATCTCATTAATTAGTCAAACACTGGAACGAAATCCAATGGAAGGTGGTGGAGTCTCCAGCCTCAGTAATACTCAGTTTGCTAATGTATAACTCAAGGATTTAATTTGACCTTTTAATATTTTTGCAAAAGGAAAAAGATGCTCTGCCAGTACAGGAATATTTAGCATGCCTCTCAGCCTGCCTTTCGTCTCTTGTTCATCCTTTCGGATTTTGTAACAACACAACTGGGTGATTATTTTAGTTCTGTGTCTGTAACATATGGGAAGTTTCTAGTGCACCTCTGTAAACGAAGTGGCTTTTTTCCTCTCAGCTATTTCTGTGTAGCTTCTCGTGGTTTCCTTGTTGAGTGAGGAGTTCTCAGGTTCTTTTTGCACCCTAAATGTTATGAACATGAGTATTTTCTGCCACACAAGGTAACTGTGAAGATGCTGCACATAACAGGTTTAACTAGAGAGAACCGTTCCGTTAGTGTGATGATCTCCTTACACCTGCCCAAGCAAGGCTTCTCCTGCAGGTTTTCCATCTATAGTTCTGCAGCGTTCTTCTGTCTGGGGCTGTCACTGTAGACTTGCAAATGATGTGTCAGCTGTGAAAGTTTTGCTCAATAGAGCTGCAAGGAGGAATAAATAATTTTCTACCTTTTTCTTTAGCTCAGGAAGAATGAGGGATAACTCTTAAGAGGATAAARTATTTAACTTAAAGATGATACAACTTACGTTGCTTTGTTTTTCTTTGTTTCCTCTTTCCCCAGCAGTGTCTTATAATTCTCCTTTGACTAAAACTAAATGATATGTGACGTTGACACAGTTACTGATGTCAAGTCACAAGATGCACAGTAGGGCCAAGGAGCCAGAGAGCCTGACTTGTGAAGGAGAATGTCCTTATTCAGGCATAAATACTCGCAGAGAAATAATATCGTGATTTAAAGCAGTTTTCTTTTTTGTAGTTTTATGTATAAATGTCGCCTTTGWTGAAGTTCACGGCTCTGTGAAATCGTACCGGTTTTGTGAGTGGTTCCTTAGAAAGTGCAGCAGTTCTTGTTCCTCAGTTGTGCAGCAGATGGCAATGCTTCATCCCGAATGTCTGGATTGCAGCCTAGAAACCCTTGCCCATTAATAATAGAATTTTACAAACTAAAGTAAGTTTTGGAGACTTGTGAACAGTGAGCATATTAACTGTGCTAACCAGAGCACTGTTTCCAGTAACTGACATAAAATATACATACAATGGGCTCTTTGTCTAAACACCACCATCTCCTAACTGCTGCGTATGTATTACAGCAAGAGGGTATTTCAAATTTTCTCTTTTTTTTTTTTTAATATGCAGAAGCTCTACAAGCCTGTGGTAARACCAGAAGAGATAAAATCACCACCTTCTCAAGGTAAAGATTTCTCAAGGGAGGCACCTGTGTTGAGAGAATACTACCTGCCTTGCTGCCTGTTACTGTTTAAAAAGTTTTCTCCCTTCAAATAGTTCAGCAAAACAGCTGGAAGGCTTTCATAGCAGAATATATTGCCACATCAATTTATTAAATTTTATCCGGCTTTCTTGATGCTGTGTGCTGTTGGGCAMTGTGCTTAAAGGTAAAAGCTGGCCACTGTGTGGATATTGCGGAGAAATTGTCAACTCAACAGGTTTTCTTACCTCTTTCCTTAACCACAAGGCAAGATGCAGAGCTAGATGGATTGTTGACATTAAACTTGGACAATTTTTATGTTCCTTTCACGTAAGTACTGGAAATGGTTCGCCCTCTCCCTGATCTATTAGTTTCTTCTGGAGATTTCCTAATTTGTAAAGTAGGTATGAAGTTGGATCCTGTTTATGTGATTTGTTAGTGTTGGAGAAGAAACATCACTGTAAACATTGCCCTAAGTTCGTTAGGTGCTTTTGAAAGGTTATTCAATCTTTCAAATTATGTGAATGTCTTGGAACAGGGTTATGAGGTTCACCTGAGGAAATGGCAAATTCCCATGTGCCTGTTCTTTACTATTGAAAATTATGGAGTTTACCAACATTGTGGAAATTTGAAAAATGTGGTTACAGAGCTGTCAGCCTGCATTACTGCACATAACATAAAGCTGGGGTAACAAACAGCTTTGGTAAGTGGGGTTTGAGGAGCAAAGCTCAAGCTTCCAGGTCTGAGCCTGCTGATGTGGTTTACTCAGGGCACCGTTTCCTCTTTGTAAGCAGTAGGAGACTTGGCTTCCAGAAATGCCAGCCTGTGCAGCAGAGCACCAGCAGGAGCAGGGAAGCTGCACTTCATATTTGGTTTCTTTTAGCTTCTGGTGTCCAGATCCACACCCTGTGATGTGGATGTGCTGCTCCTTGACAGCTTCCACTAAGGTGCTGCCTTTCAGGATAGGTAACAGTGAAGGCGTTGTCTAACCAAGACAACAGAGTTTGTGTTGAATTTTAGTATCTATGTAGTCTTTGGGAAGTGTATGTATCCCAGTTTAGCAAGTACAGTGGCCAGAAACCAAAAATGTTTAGATTACTCAATACCTTTCATTTCCTTTTTTCATTTCCCTATGTTTTGGAAAGCCTTGAACACTGAGGAATATAATGTTGTCCATGTAAAGCTCAACTGCAGGCAAATTTCTTTTAACTGCGTATCAGTCTTTCTGTGTATCTAGAACAATTCAAGTAATTATTTGGTTTTAATTTATTTATTCCTTCGCTGGAACTTCATAGCATCACCATCTTTTAATCTCAATATCCTGTTGTAAAAAGCYTTCATTAAGGGCATATTTCTCTTTTGGAGACTACCTATTCCTTAGCCTCTGTTGTGCATTTAGAGAGGCTGCTGCTATGTTATTTTTCCCTCCAAATGCTGTAAGATGGTGCAGTTTAGCATCCAAAATGCCAAATGATGGTACACTTTAGCATCCATTTCCATAGTCTATTAGTACATCTTGCCTAATTAGTGTCTAATTAGTACATTGTGCATACAGGCAGACATGTGAATTTTGTCTCTTGCCACTTGCAGGAGGTCACTAACACTTTGCACTAGAATATGGTGATTGACTTAAATCATCTTCAGTAGCACCGATGAGATTGCCCCTAAAAGACAGTAAGAACAGTATAGTAAAAATAAATAGTAGAGTTAAAAATAGTAAGAATATTAAGTGGGAGATGGAGACTAGTTAGTTCCCAGCAGCACACTTGGTGGAAAGTCTTTGGTGATGTTGTAGCTTTGCAGAGAACTCTACAGGGAGAAATGGGAGAGCACATGTGAACTTGGCTGATTTTCAAACTTCAAGTACTATTTTTGTTTCTTGTGCTTTGTCTAACCTGTAGGGTTTCTAAGTAAAGAACTTTGTGGCTTGCTGTAGTGGAGACTTCTAAGCACTGCTGCCTATTTAGTGGTTGAGAGTAATAACAGCAAGATAAAACACATCAGCTGTCAACTGCAAAGCTAKGATGCTACAAGTGATTTGCAATATGGATGGTTTTGCCAGTGAAAGGGGTGTGCTGCAGGATATGCTGGGACTCTACAACTTCTCTGTCTAACCTAAGAAGTGAATAATGATGAATGGGGCAAGGGGTTGCATTTCAGAGGTTCACCTTGTTTGTTTGTTGCTAGATACCTACATGGCAGAGCTGAAGCAGCAGGCAGAAACGGCCTCCAAACAGATCGGTGACATAATGAAGGTGAGAGCTCTGTGTACTCCATGAGGATACGTTATTTCTTGCCTTGATTGGGTAAAATGTCATCAAATACGATTTCTAATCAATCCTAGCTTATAATTTTGTACAAAAAAAAAAAAAGCCTGTGTGCTCTTGAAATGGAGTCCTGCTTTAGTTTGGGACTCCAGCTCTGCTGGTGCTGGTGCTCCTGTGCCTGTCAGCTTCTCGTCAGCGCGTTGTGCTCGCTGCCGCCCTGGCCTTTCCCGTGTAACCGGCGGCGCTTGGCTTTGTTTTTGCAGTCTCTCCCAGCACTCATAGAAAGAGCGGAAGGCTTTTCCCAAGCACTGACTTGGCAACCAACGCTGGAGCTCTGCAAGCTGCGGGAAGAAGTGTTTGCTGCCTSTAAGGTGAAGGGGGAGGACAAGGCCAAGAACGCCCCCTCGCCGGTAGAAGTCACACCAACGAGCACTGATCCCAACAAAGACACTTGCCTTTTCTTGMAAAGGAAGAGAACTGCAGACTTGGCACAAGCGAGACGCTATCCGCTGCGCCGCAGGAAGATCGCGCTGAGCACCTGAATCTCTCGTCTAGCATTTTGAGATTGGAGACTCAGTTGTCCTCTTGTGCTSTGTTGCTTTTTCCCTTCTAATTCAGTGCTCTTCCTAAGAACTATCTTAACTATTTAATCTKGGATCTTTTTAAAAATATTTCTCCTCTTACTATGACCCCGCTGGTATATGAAAGCCTAAGCCTATCAGTAGCACCTATCCAGCAAGTGTATGTAGTGATTAACCCTCATTTCTTGCACTTTTATTGCAGGGCTCGCTGTGGGTGCTGATGTTTCAGAGTTGTGCACATGCTTTGTGCACATGGGCAGTCTTTCTGTAGGCCAGAGACTGCTCGTTTCCATGAAGCATGTGCCTAAGGAGGCTGGAGAGTATCTGCTTCTCCAAATACACCCTCACCTGCACTCACTGGGGTGACTGTTTTTCCTCAGTAAGTTGAATTAAAAAGAATTTCATAATGGAATATATTAAAAACACCATTTTAGTGTGATGTTACAGTTTAGAAAATCCACATGTAAGTGTAAAATTGGTCCCTGCTATTAGACCTTCCTTGAATTTAGGTCAACTGGCCCTATTTATAGTCATGTTTAAACATAGAGTTTTTATAATTGTATATATTTACCTTCAGTGTGCTATTCTGAACAGCAATGGACCATACACATCTTCTCTGATATTTTCATTTCATGTATTCCAAATATGCAGTCTGGGGGTTTCCTGGACAGTATTTCTACACATTACAAGATCTTGACTTTGGTCATGTATGCATCTGTGATATTTGACTAAACTTTTAAAATCAATGTAGACTGACAGTAAATGAGGTTAAGTTGAGCTTTCTTATGCTTTTTTTCCCCACACATTTGTACCTAGACAATTGCACAGTGCTACTAAYTAGAGTAGCATGACTTAACCATTCATAACTTCTAGCTTGCAGGATACACTCATGGCCAATGTGTGTTTTGTCACACAGTAACATGAGTTTTTTGAAAAACTTTTGTTAATAAAATGTACTGTGGTAGGAAGGTGGTCCAACTTTGTGTTTAAGAATYGGAAAATTGAAGAAAATGTGTGACAGATTTTAGCAGCTAAGTTTGAAAAGATGAGCATCAGCATCTGTATTGAGATTTTGTATAGCYAATCACATGTAAATACTTGTTTCAGATTGCTTTTATATATATGAACTTCTGTTTTTATACAAAGCAAATTAAATCAATTAAGAAAGATCAAAGTTTCGGATCATGTTGTCCCTTCTAATCCTGGCATTAGTGTGGTCACACTTCAGAGGACATCTGTGTTACATTGGGGCTCGAGTAACTGCAGCAGTTCCTTTCAGTGCCTTTGAACTCACAACTGTTACTCATGTCAGGGCTACACAGCCTCTAATAGRAGAGAAGACAGGATGTGTGAGGGCCTGGAACTGCAGCGCTGAGGAACGCGGGGCTGGGGCTGCTCCTCACACAGGAACCTGCTGTCCCTGCTCCTTGGGAACGGGTGCTCCTGGCAGGGCTGAAAATTGGAACCAGCGCTCCCGCCATTGGGATCCACGCTCCATAGTCTGACTGTTTCTGGACCAAGCACTGCAAGGTCGTGTGTCTACCACCGTGTCTGAGCATTTCCTACAGTAATAGAGAAGGTCAGGGAATCCTGCTGGATAGTAGGATGGTAGGATGCTGGATGGTAAAGRTAATGTCTAGGATTTTTGAGGAGTAGGGATGTTGACCTAAGAGGGTCAACGTCAGACATGTTCTAAGGAACAAGGAGGGAGAGCACTGTGGATTAAGACCTGGAAGGGACTTAACGAACTCATCCTGCTGTGCATGGTAACACTTRGCTAGGAGGCTGCAGTCGGACTAGGGAGGGGTTGGAAGACGTGTAAACGGATGCCCGGTACCTGYGCCAGGGCAATGGTGCCTTGTTCTGCGCTCCTCGTTTCAGTCACAGCTGGATGGGAAAAGAAAACAGCTGGAAACACTGGCTATAAAGAAAAATCAATTAAAACCCCAAATGCACCATTTAAGCTAAGAGTTTCTGGAGCTCTGGGGGGTCTCTTCTGGCCAAGGACAATGGAAGGTGCTTGAAATGAGGGTCGGGTGAAGAGCTGAACTYGGCACTCGAGTGTTCAGTTGTTCAAGTCTGCATCAAGAGGTACTTGCAACAAGCAGTGTCTGGGATGGATCTTCCCCACTATCAAAATACTTATTTCACCTTTTCACATAAAATAAAGGACACTTGCGTATGTTCTTCRCAAAGGACATGATAGTGCTGTGTCCTTTAGTTAACTTTTCATAGAAATCTGCACTGTTGTGCAAGACAAGCGTCTAATCATGTTGCTACCGAAATGTCACAACCTTCAAGCACCTTATTTTTAACTTGGGCGATCTGGTATTGCATCAAGAAATGTCTGGTCGTTCTTCTTAATATAGCCCTTGTAAGACTTTTGTAAGACAGCTCGGTGGCAATGGGTGCTTGGGAACGTTTGCAAACGGCCTTCAAGTTTCTTAGCCCCAGAAATCTTCCTGTGGGCACCAAGGGCTGCGTGAAAGGCTGGGCCCGCGGCGGCCTCAAGCCACCGCTCTCCAGAAAGGCGGCGTTGCGTTGGAGTGCGTTGAGCAACCCTGAGCGTGTGTAGATTGCTTCACTGCAGACAAAAATCACTGATAAAATTGCTGCTCTAAAATGTGAACCCAGCTGAGCAGTCTGGACTCCCGCACAGCAGCGCTGCGCCGCTACTGCTGCGCTGCTTGGAATTACTGTGTAGGCATTTCTACAGATGCAGCAGAGATAACTTCAACGCTAAGCAGAAACCTGTTTCCATAAGCAAATTTTGACTTTTCATTTCCTTTGCCGTGCTGAACAGGAGTGGACGGTACTGGGGCTCAGAGGGACTTTTCTGTGATTTGCCCCATATTGGCGGGATCTGGGAAGCCGCCTTTCTCCACGATGTTGGGAAGGCCTTGGCTCTTGCCAGGAGCTCCTCGCCAGGGTGGGTGTACAGCACGCACACRTCCTTGCCGAGCTGGGCAGCCCTCGGTTCAGTCGGATGCTCCGGTTGTGCAGGTGCCGCTGGTGGCGGTGTTGCTGCCGGAGGAGCACAAAGCTCCACGCGGGGTGCACTCACAGTCCCTCTGGGCRAAAGGAGCCGCTTTTTCCCCCAAAGTCACTGTCGTTTGCTCATAAATGGCTTTTGCAAGAGAGAATATAGCTGTTCTCTGAGCTCATGCAAATACTGACCTCTAATCTTACGCTTTGCCTAAAATGTGCTTAAGCTGCAAAGACAAGGAACGTAGTGCTCTCTTCTTAAGCAACTGTCCCAACTAATTCCCCACGGGTACCTGTGTTTGCTCCTGTAACTCCATGATGAGCAGTTTAAGGGAAAACGGGGCCATTTCCAAAGCTGGGGCTGAGCACAACCCACCCATAGCGGTTGTGCTCTGCCCTGGGGCTACAGCTAAAGCCAGGAGAGGCTGGTGCTGCTGCGCTCAGCAGGACAGCGGCCCATTGGCACCATCTGCCTCCTTGGGGCGCCCCGCACCGCTGCTGCGGATGAGGCGCCGAGGGAGCAGGAGCTGCAGCCGCTTTGGAAGGAACGCGGGGTGCTCGAAGRAGCCAGCGCGCTCTGCGGTTGTGGCACTTGGGCAAGGAAGCCGAGGGAGCCCTTGTGGTTTGTGGCCGCAGGGTCCGTGAGGCTCATGGGTGCTCGGTCCTTGTGGGCGAAATGTGCTCCGAGAAGGGCCAAGCAAAGCCCTGGCGGCCTGGAAACGGACAGCAGAGCCGCTGCGAGGTGGAGCAGCTGGGGCGAAGGGCTTCCCGGGGGGAAGTCCCATTCAGGTCTTTCAGTAATACTGAGCAAGCGGAYGGTCCCCGAGTCACCAGGAAACCTGCGGTGGAGCAGAGGCTTCGCTTCGGCTCCCGGGCAGCGCGGCGCTCTCACACGCAGCCCCAGCTGCTGGCCAGGTCTTCCTGAAAGGATGCGCTGCATTTCCTCACCTCGCAGACTCTGCAACCTGATGTTCGGCTAAGGCTGTGCGAGTTGAGAATGACTCAAACTTCTGGGGAAACCAGAAAAATAGGGAAGTGTCCAAATTAGTAATTTAAGATACCTGGGGCATTGCAACTGGCAGCACGGCAGTTTGGGGGCACTTGCCCTCCCATGGATGTGCTTTTGCGTGCGGGTTGAGCACAATCAGGAATGCACAGCAGGCACCATACACAAGTAYACGTACAGCTCAGCGAGGATGGTGCTGCGTATCCGCCAGTGCAAACGGGCATTCGCTTCCTGTAGAGCTGAGGGAGAAGATACAGYTCAATTAAGTGTTGGAAAAGTGTTCGGAAGGATAAAGCAAACATTACTCGGGAGGAACAGAAAGGTTTGTAAGGATGAGAAATGGTGGTGTGGAAACGCTCCTGGGCAGAGACCTGTCTCGGGGGCGCCTGCACGTTCTGTTCGGTGTTGCCTTGCCTGCCTTTACAAGAAACGTGCGGCATTTCCTTATTATTTAAGGGAACAGGGCACGTAGCGAAAGTGAAAATGTTTCTATCCCGGCCCGAGGCGCCGTCCTCGCGCGGGGCGCGGGGCTCGTCCCGGGGCCGCGCGTGGGAGCCCGTGTCGCTGCACGCGCCC